GCCTCAGCCTGCTGAGCTATTCCAGCGCCGACAGCGTCCCCCACCGGCGCACGCCCGGCTTAATTTTTTGTGTATTTTTTTAAAGAGACGTGGGTTTCACCGTGGTCCGATCTCCCTGACCTCGCTGATATCCACTCCACGTCTCTCTGGCTCCAAAGGCCTGGATCACAACAGCCCTGAGCCACCGGTGGGCCCAGCCAAACGAGAAACCTTTTGAGAGTGAACAGGGAATTCGTAAACGCAAAGAGATCGGTCAGACACATGCGTTCAGACAAAAAACCTCGGCTTTGCGAGCCATCTGGCGAACACATCTGTACTCGAGGATTTAATTAATATGATCGATATCTGGGCCTTTAAGGCGCCAAATCAAAACTAAAACCTTCCCTGAAATTCAAGACTATAGAATAAACTTGGATTTTTAAACCTCCTTTTAGTAGCATTTAAGAGACTACTAGGAGTCTTTTTTAAAACAATTACTTTTTTAAATTACTTTTTTAAAACAATTAAAATGAAAAGTAATCATTAACAACTATTTATGACAAGCCCACAGCCAATATCATACTGAATGGGCAAAAACTGGAAGCATTCCCTTTGAAAACCGGCACAAGACAAGGATGCCCTCTCTCGCCACTCCTATTCAACACAGTATTGGAAGTTCTGTCCAGGGCAATCAGGCTAGAGAAATAAATAAGGGTATTCAAATAGGAAGACAGGAAGTCAAATTGTCTCCATTTGCAGATGACATGATTGTATATTTAGAAAACCCCACCATCTCAGCCCAAAATTTCCTTAAGCTGATAAGCAACTTCAGCACAGTCTCAGGATACAAAATCAATGTGTAAGAATCACAAGCATTCCTATATACCAATGACAGACAAACAGAGAGTGAAATAATGAGTGACCTCCCATTCACAGTTGCTACAAAGAGAATAAAATACCTAAGAATAGAACTTACAAGGAATGTGAAGGACCTCTTCAAGGAGAACTGCAAACCACTGCTTAAGGAAATCACAGAGGACACAAATAAATGGAAAAACATTTCATGCTCAGGGATAAGAAGAATCGATATTGTAAAAATGGCCATACTGCCCAGTGTAATTTATAGATTCAATGCTATCCCCATCAAGCTACCACTGACTTTCTTCACAGAATTGGAAAAACTACTTTAAACTTCAAATGGAATTTAAAAAGAGCCTGCATAGTCAAGAGAATCCAAAGCAAAAAGAACAAAGCTGGAGGCATCACGTTACCTCACTTCAAACTATACTACAAGGCTACAGTAACCAAAACAGCATGGTACTGGTACCAAAACAGATATATAGACCAATGCCACAGAACAGAGGCCTCAGAAATAACACCACACATCTACAACCATCTTATCTTTGACAAAACTGACAAAAACAAGCAGTAGGGAAAGGATTCCCTATTTAACAAATGGTGTAGGGAAAACTGGTGAGCCATATGCAGGAAACTGAAACTGGACCCCTTCCTTAAACCTTATACAAAAATTAATTTGAGATATATTAAAGACTTAAATGTAAGACCTAAAACCATAAAAATCCTACAAGAAAACCTAGGCAATACGATTCAGGACAGAGGCATGGTGCAAAGACTTCATGTCTAAAACACCAAAAGCAATGGAAACAAAAGCCAAATTTGACAAATGGAATCTAATTAAACTACAGAGCTTCTGAACAACAAAAGAAACTGTCATCAGAGTGAACAGACAATGTAGAGAATGGGAGAAAATGTTTGCAATCTATTCGTATGACAAAGGGTTAATATCCAGAAGCTACAAAGAACTTAAACAAATTAACAAGAAAAAAACAAAACAAACAAACAAAAAAACCCTTAAAAAAGTAGACAAAGGATATGAACAGCTACTTTTCAAAATAAGACATTTATGCAGCCAACAAACATACAGAAAAAAGCTCATTATCACTGGTCATTAGAGAAATGCAAATCAAAACCACAATGAGATATCATCTCACACCAGTTAGAATGGCGATCATTAAAAAGTCAGGAAACGACAGATGCTGGAGAGGATGTGGAGAAATAGGAATGCTTTTACACTGTTGGTGGGAATGTAAATTCGCTCAACCACTGTGGAAGACAGTGTGGTGATTCCTCAAGCATCTAGAACTAGAAATACCATTTGACGGCTAGGTGCGGTGGCTCACACCTGTAATCCCAGCACTTTGGGAGGACGAGGTGGGCAGATCACAAGGTCAGGAGATTGAGACCATCCTGGCTAACACAGTGAAACCCTATCTCTACTAAAAATACAAAAATTTTAGCCTGGCATGGTGGTGGGTGCCTGTAATCCCAGCTACTTGGCAGGCTAAGTCAGGAGAATGGCCTGAACCTGGGAGGCAGAGCTTGAAGTGGGCCGAGATCGTGCCACTGTACTCCAGCCTGGGGTACAGAGTGAGACTCCATCTCAAAAAAAAGACTTGACTTAGCAATCCCATTACTGGGTATATAGTCAAACATTATAAAGCACTCTACTATAAAGACACAGGCACACATATGTTTATTATGGCACTATTCACAACAGCAAAGACTTGGAACCAACCCAGATGTCTATCAGTGATAGACTGGATAAAGAAAATGTGGCAAATATACACCATGGAATACTATGCAGTCATAAAAAAGGATGCATTCATGTCCTTTGCAGGGACATGGATAAAGTTGGAAACCATCATTCTCAGCAAATTAACACAAGAACACAAAACGAAACAACGCATGTTCTCATTCATAAGTGGGAGTTGAAGAATGAGAACACATAGACCCAGGGAAGTAAACATCACACACCGGGGCCTGTTGGAGGTTCAGGGTCTGGGAAGGCACAGCATTAGGAGAAATACCTAATGTATGTGATGGGTTGATGGGTGCAGCAAACCGCCATGGCACATGTATAGCTAGGTAACAAAACTGCACGTTCTGCACATGTAACCCAGAACTTAAAGTATAAAAAAAAGAAAAAAATCTTTGTAGGCACCACACAGAAAGCATCCCTTTTCTTAGGCCCAGGATAGCATAGTTTCTCTCATCCTGAATTCTAGGTTTCTCATTTATATACATTTATTGGTAATTTACATTCATGTGTGTGCATGTGTGTATTTGTGTGTATGGCATATATGTATGTGTGTATATGTATATATAGGCACTATTATTTTTATTTTATTGCTAAAAAGAATGCTGATAACAATATTCTTGAACATATCTCCTCATGCACATGTATGAACATTCCAGTAGGGCATATATTTAAAAACAAAATTTCTTGGCAATAGACTCTGCAAGTCTTTAACTTTACTAAATAATAGCAACTAGTTTTGCAAATGGCTGTGTCAATTTACACACCCATCATGAGTCTATAGAGGTTTATGAATTGTTCCATATCCTCACTAATATTTGATATTGTGTAATATTTTTTTCAGTCTCCTGAGAGGAAATAGCTGTCCAGGTATTTTGACCATTTTTGTTTTTTTTCCTTGATATACATTCTAAATATTGTCATTGTTTTCACACATACTGATTACATTGTACAAGTCTGTGATTGGTCTCTGATAATGAGAAATTTTCCTATTTTAACATACCTGATTTTTTTCACTTTTTCATTTGTCGGTTATACCATTTGCATCTTGCTTAAGAAATTCCTTCTAAACCTGAGGTCATTTAGACAGATTCTAAATGTTTAAAACTTTTGTATTTAAATCTCTGATAAATCTGGCACTGATTTATTTGTTGTGGGTGTGTGTATGTGTGTGAACTAATTGCCTTACAGAATTAATTAAAATGTCTATTCTTTCCCTACTGACTTGTTCTATAATATATCACATATGTATAAATGGTTCTGTGTTCTCTACTCTATAACATTGTTTTACTTTCTATACCCACATCAATACCATACTGTTTTAATTACTATAGCAATACAGTTTTTATATCTGCCAAGGACTATGCTATATTCCAGGGTCACAGCAGCGAATAAAACAACAACAACAACAAAATTCTCTGCTTTCAGGGAGTATAAATTTGAGTAGAGGACATAGTTCAAATAAACAAGGTGAATAAAATGTATAGTATGTCTTAAGAAAAAATAAGAAGTGAAAGGGGAGTGTTAAGGAGAATAAATAAAGCCTGGAAGGGAAGTGTTATATGTCAGTGATGAAATTCAAATAAGGGCACCAGAGAAGGCAATACTGAAAAGAGAAATTTTTAGTAAAAAGCTGAAGGAATAAAAGGAAATTTTCAGGTAAAGTGAATAGTGAACATAAAAGCCCTCTTGTAAAAGCATAGCTGAGGGCTCAAAGAAAAGTAAGAAGGCCTGGGTTTCTGGAGCAGAGTGGATGAGGGGGTGAGTAGTAAGATATGATGAAATCAAAGGAATACAAGAAAAAAGTCCTATGAGCATATAGGGGATTTAGTTTCCAATTTGAATGAGGTGAGAAAACCCTGGAGGGTCCTAAGCAACTTAGAGGGTTAGCTCTGCATAATGTCAAAGCCATGAGACAGGTAGAATCTTCCTCTATCCTGTGCTGGGAAGGAAAAAAGGACCAGGAACAGGATAATACTAGACAACTCTCTGAATGACTATACTGTCCAGATAATGTTCTACAATCATTTATGTAAAACTGCAAGAGGAGTTTGTTTTGTTTTGTATTCTTCCAAATTAATCTTGAAGTAACACTTGCTAGGTATATAGTATACAGCAACCTCTGTTAAAAAAAAAAAAAAAAGAAAAAGGCAAACAAACAAACAAAACCCCTTTTATCTCTAAAAAAAAAAAAAAAATTTTAGATGTATAATCCCAATCATTATCAGACAAATGCCATCATAAGAACTTTATTTGAACAAATATGTAGAAGTGACATGGATTTATTGCCAAAAAAGATTTGGGAACAAATTTCAGGGTATTCGGCTAAGACAAAAAGGACGTAAATAAAAATAATTTTCAAGCAGTAGAATAAATTTTAGGCTGTCTCTAATTTGAGAAATAATTTTGAAAAATAAGAGAAGTCTATAAACAAAACCTTTTAGTGTAAAATTTTGAATCAGAGAAGGAGAAACAATGGTTTAATTACATGAAAAGTAGCTACATTGGTAGTAAATAGTGATTTTTCTTTGAACCCTGGTTAGGCATTGAAGGAAGCTTAACAATCTCATATTTGCGCTAGAAAAATTTGAAAAATTTAAGTAACAGTTGTCACTTGAAATCGTACTTACGTAAGCACTGCGGTACTTCACCACTCCAGGTACCGTTCCCTACACAGGTCAAAACAGCAGGGAAGGAAAGCTCATAGCCTGGAGAACAGATGTAGCTAATACTAAAGCCCCAGTCGAAATTTGTTCCTTCCAGCCTTCCATTAGAGATCTGGGGAGGAGTTGGGCACGTAACAGCTGCAATTACATTAAAAGTAATTAGACACAGCTGTTGAAATATCCTGAGTGTTAAAGATATAAATAAATATCATTAGAAGAAGCATATGTGCTAATTTAACCTTTGTGAGGACAATACGTTGTGACATGTTTTTTTCTCCCAGTAGTATTCCTGAGACATCCCTGGAATTAATCCCTGTAGGATGTAACTTTTTCTTGGCAACATAATGGCTATCGGTTGTCGGAGATTCTTACAAAATAGCAAGCTGTTTGACATCTCAGAGAAGGCAAACAGAGACTGACCTTCAATCTAGTATACTGTAAGTGATAAATTATTGGTTTTATATAAAATTATTTTCCAATGACCTTTAGACAGACAAGACTTGGGTTATTTGGCTATATATAGTATCAGCATCTTAACCATGGAATTTGAAGTAGTTCTGTGACATTTTTGAAAATGCAGGTCGTATATCTTATTATAATATTCCAAGTTAGTTCCCTTAATCACTTAGATTCATATGTTACAACTTATTATTATAGGGATTATAAACACATTTTTAATTTTTTTAAAAATGTATTTTGTTTAAATTGTTTTAAGTTATCTTTAAGCAAAGACAGGTTGGATAAGATAGAGATGCAAGGATAAGGAAGGGTATCAACTTCAAAATCTAAATATTAGGAATGACTGTATTATGAGGACTAAAAACATATATGAATAACTTTTTACAGTTGAGTAATATCTAATTCATATCAATATGAATTAATAAGTGTATAGAATAACATCTAAAATATAAAATGTCTGTTCATATATTTTCATATACTGTGTATTTATGGTAATCTGATACAGAAACTTAATAATCAATGAGGAAAGACAAACACATTGAAATTATTAATTTTGTTAGATTATAGGTCAGTAAGATATTAAACTATTAATTCACAAACATTTAAATAGAAATCTAAATGAAAAATCTTAATTATTAAAAATCTATTATAAAACAATAAGTTGTCTGACATTGCATGTACAGTATTCTATAAGTAATCATAAAAATTGGCCAAAATATTTATAAAAATATTTCCAGTGGAAAAACAAACAGCATAATGTAGCAAATTTATGCCTGTATTGACTAACAGATTAATTCTAGATTGTATTATATGAAAAAACAAGTTTTCCCATTATTTAAGAAAAAGTACAGTTCTATAATTCAGGCTGGCTGTTCTCGAATTATGGAAAGTATTTTTCCCCATCCTTGAATAACTTGACCCAAGTGGATCAGCAAATTACAGTTACAATTCATCAAGGTTATATTCTTTTGAAAATATTCATCAATTAATATAAATAACAGTAGTGAATATGGACATAATATTTTACTTCTTTTGGTCATTAAAGCTTATTGTCATTACTCACAATAAGATATGTTTTAGTCAAAATATTTTAAATTCTATATATTAAAATAACGTTTTTAAAAAACAGTCATTTTTAGTACTTGAAAAATAAATGCAACCTTGAACTAAAAAAAATTAAGTATACTTTAAATTTGTATATAAAAATAGGAAAATATGTACTGAAAAAAAATTTTAAATGTTGAAGAAATCATTATCATACCTCTGCAAGTTGGCATTACTCCACTCCATGTGCCATTAATTGTACAAGTCCTGATTCTGGAGCCATTCAATTCCATCGTGTAGCCTGGCTGGCACATGTAAGAAACATTTTGTCCAACCACATAATCATCTCCATATCTCAGTCCATTGGCTGGTATACCTGGGTCTCCACAACTGATTACTGTCAGTATTGGATTAGAAGAGCAGATGGTTAATGTGGCATGTATTTAATGGAAAGGAGTAGTAAGCATATGGCATACTTAATATATAAGCAGGAAAATTAGTTATCATGCTCATTTTAAATCGTAAAACATCAGCATATTTAAACCACATACTGGCAACTCCTGATTATGATCAGGTATGCTTATTACAGATTCTACACATATGGTTCAGAAACTGTCATTTAGCCTCTGAAAAGGCTAGGTTAATATGTCATTATGTTGTAGTGAATTTGATGCAGTAACCTCTTCTAACCTTCACTATAAGACCACACAGAAAATAATCTGCAGAATCAGATTTCTAACATAATACATGAAATCCATATTCCTATATATGGCTACTGAAATATCTAATTTATCAGGCATGCTGGATGGAGAGCATATTTTCTGCAGTGTCACTCAGAAAGACAACCCCCAGGAAATTGCAACCTTCACTCTGGAATGTGCTTGTTATAAGAAATGCAGATGTATGAGGGACCATCCCATCCAAGTCCTTGACCAATACGTGATGGTGCTTCCAGGCCCAAACAGGGACTGTCACTGCTCTGTTCTGCCCCAAGACTCCATTAATATATCCAACTCTGACCGTCCCACGTTTGCATTCAATCCCTAAAAGGAGGTAGGACAACAGTGCAATGTGAACTTCTCTTTACTGGTGATACAATGGATGAGCTGGGTGGGGGTGTCACATTTTCCAGAGCAGGGATGGAAATGGGGAGGCCATGCAGGGCCAGGGGCACCAGGTTGTTGGAAGTAAAAGGTCTAGACCCATCCCAAGGACACAAGAAAGAAGGCAACAAGGCAGACTGCACATGAACAGAAGCTCCAAGCCCTCAGCATATGCTCCACTGTTCCAGTGGACTTCAATTACAAAACGTTGATTTGAAGATAAAATTATTAAGAATTTTGAGATGGTTATCACAGAGCATTAAACTATAAGCAGAAGACTCTTCTGAGCATGAGGTTCTATGAATTGCGCTGGTCTCATGCCCGTGAGTGTGAGTACATATATAATATTATCATTTCTTTATAATGCCACCCAAAATGTTTCAGAAAGACTTGAGATAGTTTAGAAACACAAATAACCATTTTATTAAAAATGTGTTTTGTTTAAGTAGAAACATAAGATTCAAACATAACAAAGATTATATATGTCACACAAGTGCTAACTGTTTTGAGGCACAGGATTTAAGCATAATTTGGGCAGCAAATTGGCTAAAAACTTTCTGGTAGCTGAGAAAACAAGAAGTACAAGTTACACTTTCTTTTCTGGAGATAAAAAACTGTAGTATACTTACATGCCTTTTAGTCTGCTAAATCTTTTGGTTCATAAAAGGGTAATTTCTCCAGGTAAATCTGGGTTATTCTCTCTCTCTCTCTCCTCTCTCTCTGTCTCTCTCTCTCTCGCTCTCGCTCTCGCTCTCTCTCTCTCTGTCTACTCCTTTTTCTCTCTTTTTAAAATTCACTTTTCCCAATATTTTGGAGATCCAGGATTAAAGACTAAGAATGAATTAAGGCATGGAAAACCTTAATAACGCCTTAGTTACATAGTATTTATTATGTTACCATTAAGAGTTATTAATGTCAAGATTCCTTTTATATTCTATTCTGTTGATTCTGAGAAGTTTTGAGATTATGAAAATGGCATTTAAATTAAAGAACATCGTTCAGAGCATTCAACTTCATAACTTTTGGAGCCCTTAAGATAGTCTGATGAAATTAAACTCTTTGAGTGTTTCTTTCATCAAATAGAGAAACAATATAATCAAACTCAATCATAATAGAGTTTTATATTCAGGACTGCTTTCTTCGCTATGATTATTGGGGAGTAAAAATATATTTTTTTTAATGATACAACTGAGTTGGACAGAAAATCAAATAATCCTGCTCATTTTTTTTTTATATATTATCTCTTTTTACAGTTTAAAAATTTACAACAATGTAAAAATAAGTATAAGCCTTCAATATATTATATTATTTTATATTTATAACCAAGATTTTTAATTAGGAAGAGGAAATTAAAGAGAGCACCTATAAAGTGTTGTTGTTTTCTGGGCAGTGCTTTCCAGATTGCATTAGAATCTTGGCAAGGAGAAACAGCCAGCCTGGTCATAGGGCACATGAGCTGAGATGCAGCCACCAAAAGAGAGGACAGACCGTTTATTTTACAGATGCACGAAGAAAGAGTTCTGCACATCATGGCAGCACCATGAATGAAATGCCTGACAACAAAAGCTTTATAAGGGTTTGTTTGGTGACTTTCTATTGAAGCAAAGGCTAGTCAAAGGGGCAGTTTCCAAGAGCAACAGTCTTTGTAAACAGCACCTGCTCTGCAAGTCAATTCATTCACTACCAGCTTGTTTTCAGCAACAACCAAAAAAAGGCTTTTGGTTTTTTCAGGAAAAAACCTTAGAATAGTAACTCTTTAGGAAAAAAACCTAAAATTCAGAGATATTGTCGCATGACAACAAATTCAGAGATACCATTGCATGATAAGAAGATCATCGACCTTCCTAAACACACATCTCTCTCACACAAACACGCCAATAAACTCCATAAAGGCAGATATTTTGACTCTTGTATGCTGTTTTCTTAAGAGTCTCATCTAGTGTGTGATTCATCATAAGAGATTAAATATCTGTTTGAAGGATAAATAAATGAATGAGTATGTAAAGGAATCGTTAAGTTGTCAGCTCAAATTCTCAAAAACACATAAATTATTTGAAAGGTCTGAATTTGTTTTGTGGGAGGTTTCTCTTTGGCCTATATGTAATTGATGCCCATCTGGCATCATTTATGATAAATCCAAGTAAATAACCTCTATGCTACAAATAAAATATAATTGTGGTAATTCTAGTTAATCTATGCTGCTTTAAAACTACTTTCTCTTTTAACTTCTTATACAAGCATTATAAATGTGCATTTTAAAATCAAATGAAATCACATTACTTTTTTCACAGAATTCAGTTTTTCATTCAATATCTAATGGATATTTTTGCATGTAACTATTAATATACATAGACAAGCATACTATTTTAATGGCATATTAATCCCATGCAATATAATTTATGCAACCAAATCCCTATGGACTGGAGTTTGAGTTATTCCATTGTTTTTCTATTACAGACAATGGAGCAATGAACATGCTTGCTTGAGCATCATTATACATGTATGTGCTCTGCCAGATTTCTAGCTTCAAGACCAGAACAGTGTTCTACTGTAGCAAAATGAAGTTCCAGAAAGATGGCTAAACCATTCCTCTCATAATGCTTTTGATTTTACATAATCTCCATATTCAAAAGTTGGTTTCTTCTTTGGATCTCAAAAGGTGGAGTTTCTCTACCTTAAGCTTGAACCTATTGACAATTTCAGTCAAATAATTCTTGGTTGTGAGGGGCTGCTCTGTGCATTGTAGAATGTTCTGCGTTATATCTCTGGCATCTACCTGCTAGATACAAAAGCACCCCCTCCCCCTGCACTGTGACCATCAAAAAGTATCTTCAAACGTTTCCGAATGTCTCCTGGGAAGCAAAATCCTCTCCAGTTGAGAACCGCTGCACTGAGGAATAGCTCACACTCCTTGAAGAGATTTAGATTATTTTTTATCTTCACTTCACTCAGTTTTATGCTGGAATATCCCCAGCCCTCTCTTGTGTAAGACTAACCCCATCTTCCTGACCTGTCCTCTATTGGAAAAACATCTTTGAGAATTTTCAGATTTGTGACAAAAATTCACTCAGGGGCATTTCTATAGTGGTTACTTGGAAAAAGAAGACTTAGATTCATTTATCACCTGGACCTGATTAAATATGGTGTCTTTAGCCCAAAGGAACAAGACTTCCCAGATGCAGGGTGCTGGGCATTGGTAATTTTGGAAGCAGAAGTTCAGTCAGTTTCTAAAGATATCATCCAAGAAAATGAATAAGAGCATGTCTTTTTAGACCAGAAAGCTAATTCTTACTCTACTTGGCAAGCCCTGCCCCAGCACTGTTTGTGTCTCTTTCCCAAAACACCATATGCACTCTGTATATGATGGGCTTTAGGTAACAGAGGTGGTCCTGCCTGTTAGACATTGAAAGTTAAGGATCCTCTTATAATTAATATCCCAAAGCATTTTGTACTGACAAAAAAAATGTATTTTTGAAAGAGTAATTACATGTACTTACTATATCTTCTGTGTCTGAACATCATAGAAAATAACTTCACTACATTTTTAATCAAGGTATTGATTTGAGCTATCTGGTATTATGGCATATATGTTTTCTTTCTAGTTTGGTTTAGTTCTGTGCATGTTTCTTCACATTTATAATTCCTCTGTCAAAGTGTGCATAACATTTGAATGCATGATCTTGATTTCAAGATACAATATTTTACCCACCCAGGAGGCAACTAGTTATTCTGAGGAAACTTCTCCTTCCACCACTGGTAGTGGGCTTAATGAGGGCATGTCTGGAATTACAAACAATGAGTGTTCAGAAAAGGGAAAAGATTTTGCTTGTGAGGCATACTTTTAGAGATAGATTAATTAGACTTGCAATATCTCAACTCACATATAGTCTGAAGCCAGTTGAATAACAGCAGGTAGAATTTAGATGAGTAAAAGTTTATGCTTTTAACAACAACATCTCTACTATGGCCAAGCATAGGGGATTGGAGACTTTATCATTATTATTAAATCATATATATTCCAAAAATGTTTATAAAATCATTGAAATGAACAAGGAAAATCACAGCTGACACATTACCACATTTAATTGAACTCGAATTTCTAAAAAACAGAGGGTGTGTGTGTGTGTGTGTGTGTGTGTGTGTGTGTGTGTTACTGCTGGACAGTCAAGCAAATGAAAAGGTACAGTTGCAAATAACTCCAGTGGGAAATTCTCAAAGGTCAAAAATGCTTGGAATGCCAATGTTACCTCACTAGTCTGTGAAATATTAGGGAACAGATACCTTACCGACTGAA